CAGTTGATAGAGTCATGATATATCATTTGAGATTTGGTCATTTGTCTTTTTCAGCTTTGAGTCATTTGTTTCCAAAAATGTTTAAGGGAATATCCCTATCGAGTCTTCATCGTGAGCCATGTGAACTTGCAAAACATTGCAGACAATCTTTTTTAGTGAGTAATAAAAGATCAATTTCTCCTTTCCATATTGTGCACTCTGATGTGTGGGGGCCATATCATTTACCTGCTATGGGGGGTTACAAATATTTCATCCTTTTTATTGATGATTTCTCTCATTACACATGGATTTACCTTATGAAATCTCGAGATGAAGTGTCAAATATTGTACAAAAATTTCATTAACTTTTTCTTACCCAGTTTAACACTCGGATCAAAATATTCCGATCTCATAATGCAAAGGAATATTTTGAGAAAAGCCTTTCCTCCTACTTTGATACCTTTGGAGTTATTCATCAGAGTTCTTATTCCTACACTCCACAACAAAATGGACTAGCGGAAAGGAAAAACCAACATGTGGTTGAGGTTGTAAGGAGCCTCCTTTTTGCTTCCCATGTTCCTGTTAAGTTTTGGGCGGATGTTGTCGTTACAGCTACATACTTCATAAACTAGACGCCTTCCCCAGGCTTTGGGGTTTAAAACTCCCTTTAGCCTCTTATTTCCAAAAGAGGATCTCTTCTCTCTTCCTCTCCGAGTGGTTGGGTGCACTTGCTATGTTCATGTTCATAGTCATCAAAGACATAAGTTTGAGCCTAAAGCACACAAGCGTGTCTTCTTGGGATATACCACCACACAAAAGGGGTATTGTTGTTTTGATCTGGTTCGTGGCACTTGCTTTGTTTCCAGAGATGTCACATTTGCAGAGTCTGTTCCTTTCATTGGTACTTCTCCTGAGGGGGAGCATTCAGAGGAGTTGTTTGCGTTGTCACCATTTATCCCTCTTTCAATTCCCATTGAATCTTCTATTTTGTCTCCACCAATCGAGTCCTCTATTGGCTCTTCTTCTCATGTTCCTGCTCCCCCTCCTCTTCCTACAGTCCTACTCATCCTCCCACATTTTCTTCCCATCCTATTATCCAAAGACAAAGACTCAGAGACATGCAAATTGTTTCCACACCTTCAAATGAGCCTCTTGCACCTCCCATTACTACTGAGGTAATAGGTCAGCCCTCTTCTACCACTTCGGATACCTTCCCTGACCTTGATCTCCCTATTGCTCTTTGTAAAGACAAACGGAAATGTACAGCTCATTGCATATCCAAACACCTGTCCTACAGCCACCTTCTTTTCCCTTCCTACTATTCCTTCCTTGCCTCTGTTTCCACACATGTGACTCCCATAACTGTCCCAGAAGCCTTGTCCAAACCAGAATGGAGGGATGCTATGGTCGAGGTTCAAAGTGTTGCCAAGGACCGGGTTTTACTTATTTTCAGAGGGGTCAGTTTAAGGCCTGGCTACCCTCTGAACCAATGGCTGACCTGATACAACCCCTGGAGGGGCGTATCGGGAAGCCATCGGCACAATACGTATCAGCCGATACGGGCCGATACATATCGATACTTTGAACCTTAGCTATGATGACTGAATTAGATGATTTGCACAAGAACAATACTTGGGAAATTGTAGATTTGCCTGAGGGAAAGGAGCCGGTTGGCTGTAAGTGGGTGTTCACTATTAAGTATCATTCAAATGGTACTATTGAGAGATTTAATGCCTGTTTGGTAACTAAAGGATAGACTCAGATGTATGGTATTAACTACCTAGAAACTTTTGCCCCAATGGCCAAAATGACTTCAATTCGAGTTTTGTTATCTTTAGCTGCTACTTTTGATTGGCCACTTCATTAGTTTGATGTAAAAAATGCTTTCTTGAATGGGGACCTACATGAAGAGATCTATATGTCTTTACCTCCAAGGGTGTATGGGAAGGAGATGCAAGGGAATGTCTGTAAACTGAAAAAGTCCCTTTATGGCCATGAGCAATCTCCTAGAGTCTGGTTTGATAGATTTTGGGTTGCTCTTATTACTTTTGGGTACACACGGACTCAGTTGGATCATACCCTGTTTGTTAAGAGGAGAGATTCCTTAGTGACCCTTCTTATTGTCTATGTTGATGATATTGTCGTTATTGGTAATGATACTCAGGAAGTTGATCATCTCAAAAGTTTTCTTAACACTGAGTTTGAAATTAAAGACTTGGGAGAACTCAAATATTTCTTAGGAATTGAAGTTGTCAGATCTAAAGATGTTATCTTCATTTCTCAACAGAAGTATGTTCTTGATCTTCTTGTAGAGACTGGCAAAATGGGTTCTCAACTAGCTTCCACTCCTATAGACCTAAATCATAAGTTGTCAGCTACTGATGGTGAACTATTGACTAATAAGGGACTTTTTTTTTATGAATGACTAATAGGGGACTGTTCCAAAGACTAGTTGGGAAATTATTATACTTATGCATGACTCGACCAGATATTTCCTATGCAGTTAGTGTAATTAGTCAATTCATGCATTCTCCCAAAGATACACATTTAGCAGTAACTGAGAGGGTTTTGTGCTATCTAAAAGGGACTCCAAGGAAAGGTATCTTGTTTGCTAAGCATGGACACATGAAGCTGGAAGCATACACTAATGTTGATTGGGCTAGGAGTATTGATGATAGGAGGTCCACTTCAGGTTACTGTGTTATGGTAGCAGAGAACATTGTATCATGGAGGAATAAGAAGCAGTCTGTAGTGGCTAGATCCTCAATTGAAGTAGAATACAGGGCAATGGCACATGGAGTTTCAATACTTTTGTGGTTGATATCACTTTTAGAAGAACTAGGTATAGACTATGAGAAGTCAATGATGTTATATTGTGACAACTAGGTCGCCATCAACATTGCACATAATCCTGTTCAACATGATAGAACTAAGCACATAGAAGTTGATAGGCACTTTATACGAGAGAGAGTTGCTTCATGAGAAACTTTGTCTACCATTTGTTGCTTCTGAAGAACAGTTGGTTGATGTTTTGACAAAAGGTGTTCCTAAAGGAAAGCTGGTTCACTATATAAGCAAGCTAAGCATGATTGATATCTATGCTCAGCTTGACTGGGAGTGTAGAGAGACTGGGTCGAATGGGCCCTAGCCCATTAATGTCTTATTTATTAGTTATTTCTTGTTACTTGTTCTTAATGGGCCTTTAATTCTTGTTTATGTTTTCTAAGCATGTTGATGATGTGGACGCCAACTTAAGGGCAGACTTGTAAATTATGTAACTTAAGTAAGATTAATAAAAGATTAGTGTGGGGAAAAGAGGAGATTATCGAACTCCCCCTTTCTCCTTTCTTCTCCATCCTTCTTCTTACTATCTTCTTCTTCTCTACTTCTTTTGCTATAATCTGAATCATTCTTCCTTTTTTATTGGTCTGAATTACATTTCAATTAATCATTAGGAGTAAACCACCTACGTAAGTAAAGGAGTCTCCTTGGTAATAGCAACAAGTCAATACCCATATAGTTTTTTTGCCAAGGGCCATAGCTGTTTCTTTGTTTATTATCTACATATAATTGTATAACCCTGGTGTACACACCCTTCTATAATTACTAATATATTGCTGCTACCTTTAAAAGGGTTATCACACAAATATGGCTTAGAAGTGAAGAGGCATGAAAACATGATGAGAAAAGATGATTATTGAAACTTTTAAGTTTTAAACAGGCAAATGGAGCCTGTTAAAAGTTACTTCTGCTCAAAAAAAAAGAAGAAAAATAAAACTTTTAACAGGCAAAGGAGCTAAGAGGCACAGGTTCTAGCGTGTGGCAAGGAATTGTGAAGTACTCCATGCCATTCCAACAGAATATTACATTTGAAGTGGGAAAAAATAGACCAGATGAGGTTTTGGGAAGACAAATGGTGTTGCAGTCCATTGTTAAGCAATACTTCTGCCCTCTATCAAACTGCATTGGGAAAAAAAGAGCTATAAGTAGCAAAGGGTGTTGTCTGGGCCCTCATCTAAGGCATAAATGCATAATGCTAGACCATCTTCAGCAGCATAAACCTTTTATTGAGAGGTTATATAAGGGAGTCAATACCCTAATGGCCTGTTTTTGGTCAAGTCCTTTTGTGTTGCCTTGCTAGGGGTGGAAGCAATTTCTTTTCCCCTTGGCATTGATCTTGTTGTCTCAAATCCTAAACAAGGTGTGTTTTTCATGTCCATGCCTCCATGGCATATCTAAACAAGACTCTTGCAATTGATCGGCTTATCTCAAGGGGATGAGATGTGAGTATTGAATGTATTCTTGGTGAGTTACGAGAATTGATACCACATATTCTCATTCATTGCAGCCTCTCCATAAAAGGTACAGTCCCAGTTCATTAAACTTTTTCGCAGGCAATTGATCATACCAACAAAACCTAGAACACTTTATTAATACCAGGCAAGTGAAAGCTTTCAGTAAAGAAGGTAAAAATTTGTGGAATATGACTCTATTTGCAGTCAAATTGGTCTATATAGAGGGAGAGGAAGAACAGATTTTTTGAAGAAAAGAGATTTGAGGTGTTCTGTTATCAGAAAGACAGGACTTGGGAGTTTTTTTTTTTTTTGGGCATCAATCCTACCTAACCTTGTAAATTTGACCTCCGATTTTCATGGTGGTGCATCTTTGATTCTCAACAGAGGGTTTTACATGTAAATAAATGTTTGTATCTGATTGTACTGTTAGGGGGAGAGGGATTTTATTCTAAAAAAGGAAAATCCACTCAAGCATATAAGAAAAAAGTAGCAAATCAAAATCAGGTTAGTTAAGCCATTACAATTTACAAGTAAGATCCTTGCCTGTGGATGGATTTCGTTAAGATTACAAGTATAATTGTCTGCCTTTGTTATCCTGCTATTGGTGGATAACAAAGCCATAATAGAATAACCATGAACTTTTAATAGACATTATTTATATAGCAAACTTCAAATTATAGTGGCAATGGATAAAAATGTCAATTAACAAAAACATGAGAAAGTTACCTGAATGCAAAAGCAAATAAAAGGAGAAATATTGGAGACGCAGATTTACACTGCCAAAAAGGGAAAAAAAGAAAGAATTGATAACTTATAACCTATAAATCGAAAGGATAATGACAATAATTAGAACAGAGTTCCATTGTGTATTAACAAATGGGGATGATAGATTAGACGGAGAAGTTACACCCAGAATGACAACAAACCATACATACATACATACATACATACATACAAACCATATTAAAACAAAGCCCTCTGACTAGAAAGCTTCTCCCTTAGACAAGTGGCGTCTTATTTTTTTCAAAAAGAGCACCTAAAGAGTGATTTTTCCCACTCTCAAACAAAAGCTTCCTCCATCAAACATGTGTATACCCACTCAAATGGTAGTTACCTCCACTCTCAAAAAAGTTAGTAGTAATTACCTCCACTAAGAAGATAAAAAAACAAAAACTATGTAGGATCATTAAAATGAGTTATTATTTAGATATAAAACTTGATTTAATCTCTTAAATTAAATAACAAGTCTATACATAAAAAATCAAATAAAATAATAACCTAAATTTACAACATAAAACATGGGTGTCAAACAAAATTTATTAGAATGCATTAAATAAAAAAAAATCAGAATATGGCCCCGTACTTAGTAAGGGTGATCATTCTCTAGTTTCATAATATAAAGTCAAGGATAAGCAAACCAACCATAGTAGCAAATGTGACAGAGATGAAAACAAGGGAAGCATTGCTCAAGTTTACATCCAATGCAGTTCCAAGAGCCGTAGGTACAACTGTGAAAGGCAAAGTCCATCTGTAGCATTAGTTTTTAGAGAAGTTAATAAAGTAAGGGACAGACCCTTCCTGACCAAATGGTATAAACAAAAATGGAAATATAATGATCAACATGGAATTATAGGAGCATCAAAATTGAGATCAGAAACTATGATACGGTAAGTAGATATATAAAAAATAGCATTCAATTTCAAATGCGGAAAATGAAATATGAGGTCAAAGGCTACATATTTTTATATATATAAAAAAACTGCAACATCATACTCTCTATAACTGAATCTCTAGGACATTCTTTGTTGTATACACCTTGGAAACACATTCCAATGCAAAAAAGAAATAGTTAGCTGTCTGCACTGAGATAACTGATCAACCAATAATATCTACATTGGGATTGTGGGCTTCCTGCTCCATCTAGACCAAACAAAATTTTGCATTTTGAGATGTCCAAAAGTTGATGGTTTTGCTGTAAGGTGTCAATTATTTTTTTTTACCAACTCCATGATTTGCAATTTGCTTAAATCAAATTGTAGCTTAGATGAAGTATTAATAGGAGTGGTTCTTGAGTTCAATCAAAATTCAGCAATCTTAATTATTGAATCCAAAGTGAGCCACTTTCATTCAATTCTGAAGCTATTACATCAAGTGAATGGCTGTCTTCAGCTTCTCCCAAAAGCATTACAAGGTAAAAGAAATGTATTAACCAACATTGGAAACCAAGAAAAGAACAGCATTACAGATTAAGTAGAAACCAAGTGTGCATCTTCTTACCCATTTTACTTTGTCTCATTAATACAATATCTACTTTTGTGTCAGTAGAAATTAAGTGAAGAAGAATAAAGTAAAGAGAAGGGCATGATGATGATGATGTGACTACCTCTGGTAAAGTAATCCCTCCATGACATTTTTACACTGGGTTGAAACCTTTGAGCCCAAAAACATGTAATGGCCCTTGAGAAGACAGCTTGCATCGCGAAGTGAATCGTGTTCATTAACAAGGGAGCAGGGAACTTTCCTAAATGATCTCCTAATAGTGTTTTGTTATACCTATCCAAACAAACCACAACACATGATCAATTACTAACAGAGGAAGAAACACTACTAAAAAGGGCCATAATTCAATGTTGGTCCCAGTTATCCAGAGTGTTGGGCGAGGTAAACTGGATACAAACCTAACCTATAAAATTTTTTGCACAAAGTGGCGCTCTCAAATTCAAATCCGTATTCTCATGTTTGTCAGCCTGAGCTTTTCCATTGCACCAAGCAACGGACCCAGGAAAAAGAAAACAAGAATAAACATAATTGAGCTAAAAAAAAGTAGATGAGTATTTTGATAGAGGTTAACGCTTACAATGTCAAGCATGTGCTGAAAGTATACCAAACCAATATGAAAAACAGTGTCTTAAGAACAATAGCCACAGAAAAAGAGCTCTGAGTATTCAGTTCAGTTTCACGTCGTCCTTCTGAAGAGGATCTATCAACATTAATATCCAACAGGTGTGCTTGGCTTTCAGACCTATTCTCAATATCAAAAGATACGTATTTTGCTCCATGTTCATCTCCCTCAACATGAATGGGTACAGTACCCATGACATTACCCCCATCCAAGTGCATTCTTCTCTGCTGAAAGCTACTAAACTTTTGTGTATCAACATCTAAAGATCCATTTTGTAACCCATCTTCTTGAAGCAATGGCAACTCAAAATCAGATTCTTCTAAGCTTACATCAGCATTTTTTGATTGATAATCTGCAAGGACAATCCCATCTTCGTCGCACCAGCGTGAGAAAGAAGGCTCTCTGCGGAGGACCGGTCCATGGCTTCCACTTTGAATGTCACTAACTCCAGTGTTTTCACTCTTTTCTGTTAATAAGGTGGTTTCCACCATCTCCTTCCTTTTTCTAAGTTAGAACCATCTTTACTCAACCCCCCCTGGCCTATCCAAAGGCCAGCAACCACGGCAGTCCCCTCAAGTCACACAGAAGTTCAACCAACTGTGTCAAAATAAAACTGAAATCTCCCAAATTTTGTTGTTTCTTTGCTTTACCAGAAGATAGGAAATATTAGCAATGCACCATGACCAAAATCCTCAAAAAGACAGAATCCTGCACCCCCAATTCAACAAATCAGAAGCCAAAACGGTTCAACTTCAGAAATAGAGCCAAATCCGTAGTAAGAAGAAAAAGAAAACAGCTCCAAAAACCTTCAATGTTCTCGTTAGCTTACCCAACCCGATCCTGAAAGAAAAGGCAAATGGACATCAACTTTTCTAATTAAAATTTCAAAAAAGCAACAGTTAAAACTCTTCAACTGCAAGCTCGATTGAAATTCATGCAATAGATGCTGTTTCAAGAGCTTCAAATAACAGGAGAGAAGGATGGACTGACCTGACATCGAAAAGAACGTTGTATAGATATCTCGTTCTTGAAGCGTGCGAAATCTTGTTAACAGTTGAACAATGTTGAAATGGAGCTCGAGAGCTTAAGATCCGATCTGGTTCCTAGATTCTTTGGAGAGTCGGTGGCTCGTGAGTTGTTCGTTGGTTTTTCGCGGTGAAGAATTTGACAGGATACAGTGGAACGCTACCAAAGGTCATCATTACGGATGCATCCGCTAACCTTTCTAGTTGAAGACTTGAGGAACTTTTAAAGACCGTCCATTAGTTCATTTTTACCGTATTTTTCTACCCCAGAAAAAATAAAGAAAAGGTTCATTTTTACCTTTTATCTAATGATGTAATTGCCCTTGTCTAATTCTCATTTTAAACTGCCACTAACCCTTCCCTTTGTTTTGTTATTGAATGACTGTTCACTCCACGCTGAATTCTTAGCTCAATCATATTAGGGTGGGGGTATTTAATATTTTGAATTGTTGTAGGTTTGTAGTTGAATTCAGAATTTTGAGATGGAATGCAGTGTAGTTATCCATTTTTTTTTGGCATAGTACAGCACTTTTCTAATAACAATAACTCTTCTCACAGGTGTACTGCTCATTGGGCCTCAAAACAGCATCATTTTTGGGACTACCCAGCTACATACCAACCAAGCCACCATTCAGTTGGTAACTACCACTAACCCTTGCTGAAAAATAAAAAAATAAAAAAATTGGCTGTCATGGTGAGTTCGGATCTCCTGTCCACGTTTATCCACAACACACTACCCATCGTGAATTGGGAACATCTCCCCCTGCATAATACTATGCAGAGGATGAGATGTTCTCCATGTGTGGCTGCGATAGATATGGGCAGGAGATCCGGACTTGTCATGCTAGTGTTTGATACATGTGGACAGTAGCCAAGTTAAGAATTTTTTTGAGGGGTTTGGGAGAGGGGCAGGTTAAACAAGAAAATGAGATAGAGAATAGAAGAAGTAGGGTTTTGAGAAAAATGAACTAAGTAGGTTTGGATGTATTATAAATCTTTTTAAAGAAAAACAAATAATTATTTTTTTAATTTTGGGATCTTTTTAAAAAAAAATTGCCCCTGCACATAGGGCCCACATAGATTGCTCAGCCCACTGTGCATGATTTTGTCTTGGATCAATATGGATTCTTATTGTTCAAGACTTTAAAAACACCAAAAGATAATTAGTGTGACTATTGCTTTATCTTTGGTTCATCTCAATAGAACCCTTCATTCTTCACTAGTATTTTTGAGACTGATGGAGAAATTACTTTTCAGTTTATTACCCTTTTGGATCTAATGTCACATGCCAAAAAACTATGGAAGCTTATGTTTCTTGGATCAATAAACTAAAGGTTTTTTTGCCAAAAACAAAAACAATTTCACAAAAACCATAAGTTAGCCAACACCCCTTCAAACAACTCTACCATTAAAGCCATGTTTGGGAATGAAGTACTTATTTAAATAAGTGCTTATTCCAATATGTGCTTGCCTAATAATCACGTGTTAGTGTTTGGGGAGAGTGTTCCATAAACTATTTAACTCATAAGTGCTTATTCAATGAAAATAACAATTATAGTATTTACTTAACATAATCATATATTGGATGTATTTGGATGTTATATTGCTACATTTGGATAAAAATGATAATTCTAACCATCACACCTGATGTAATAATGATCTTAATAAACAAGAAATAGGTTAGTTGTGCGCTTGATCTATAAACACAACAAAGAGTGTTGTTAAAAATGCAAAAGACTGTGGGAAGAGAAAGAAAAAATAGAAAAAAAAAAGAAAATACAGGTGGAAATGAAACATGGATGGATTCTTTGCCTATAGAGTCACCGCCATTTCCTTGAAAGAGGTGAATGGGTGTAGAGAATTGGAGAAAATATAGGATTCCCCTATCATGTTTCATGTTTCTATTGGAGGTTTTACCTAAAAATATTTCATAAGTTGGGATAAGAATGGAAGAAAAAAACACTGATTCAATAAGCACTTAAAAAGAAGCTAGAAGTTGGGACTTGTTTTTTAAGCATCTATTTTTCAAATATGTGTTTTCCCTTGTTTATTCACCAAATGCATAAGCACTTATTAGGGCTTCTCTATGATCCCAAATTCCCAACACTTAAAATAAGTTTTTATTGCTTGCAACCAGATATGAAAAATACGAAATAGGGTCTCTTACAAATATTTTTGGTTTTCTTTTCAGCCAAAAATTAGATAAGTGTGGATGAGAAATTGGGTGGTGTATTCTCAACCACACTATAGGGGTGTGGTTGAGAACACACCACACCACAATAGAATAGGTGTTCTGTACCGTCAACAAAAATAAGTAGTCTGAACCACAACACACCCATATAGGTGTTTCTATAGGGGAGTCACACATATAAGGTGTTTCTACAAGGTGTGGTGTGGGCCACACCTTGTGTTTTGATTCTATGTATCTCGAATACACAATGTGAGATAATCTATGACGTCGATAAAGTGTAACAATTTTTTTTGTTTTTAAACAAAATACAAATTAATTTAACATGCGATTAATTTAACCATAGCTAATACGAATTAATAAAAAATGAATTTAAAAATTAATAATGACTAAAAAATAAAAAATAAATATAAACATAAGAGTAGTGTTTTCGAAGCACCATTCGCCCAAATGGTCAAACCATTCGGCCCAAGAACCGTCCAAGCAACTAGTTTTACTTTGCTTTACCTTAAACCCGGTCCCTGGCCAAAAAAAATAAACGTTTTTGGTCAGTGACCCGCTAACCTAGGCAGTCGAACCATTGACCCATTCGACATATTCAATGGTTTTGGCCATTTTTTATTTTTCAAGTCAGAACAAGTCATTAGTTCAAAACTAAACGGCCGAAAACCGATGGCTAGAACGATTTTGGTTCCTGAGTCATTTTTTAAAACCTCGCTTAAGAGAACTAATATTCATGATAAATAAAAACATAAAAATAAAATAAAATTCATACTTTTAATATTAATTATTAGTAATTGTAAAATCAATATAAAAATTATTAAATAAATATAAGATAAATAATTAAAAATATTGTATGAATTAACATACATGTGAAGTACTAAATAGGAAGAGGGGCTTATGGTGTGGTTGTAACCACAACCATAGCAGAACATTGGTGTATTGTGTTTTAAAACCCATGGCTTTCAAAACCGAACTGGACCAGATGGACGGACTGAAAAACTGGGAACCGGTCACCTAATTGGTTCCATTTTCACCCTAGAACTGTTATTTCACTAAAAATGTTGATTTGGTCAATAAACTGCTTATCCAAGTGGTCGAACCATTCCAACCATCCAACGGTGTTGGCCTTTTTTTAACATTTTATTTTTTTATCAAAACAGGCCATTCATTTGATTCAAGCGATCAAACCGTTCAACCAGGAACCAGACCCCCGATTAGTTCATTATTCGATTCAATTTTAAAAACCTTGTTAAAACCCACTATCTCGTGGATTTACCACAAAACACTACCGAAGACTACTTTTGCACAATTGCAATAGGACACTTGGAAAGTGGGTTTTCTGCTTCATAATTTATAAAGCAACTAATTATGGATGATAAAGCAATTAATCGAAGACAACATTAATTTGCACATACAAAAAGATAAATACACTGCAAAAAAAGGAAAGAAAAAAAACAAATAAAGAGTATGGAGAGAAAGTGTAAAATAGGAGACCACATCTCCGCCCCACGACGTCCTACCCTACAATGCCCCACAGCACATCCTCGTTGTGTATTGTGTATTGGGCACATCTCCCGATTATAGTACCAGAACCAATGATATCATCATCGGAAAATGTGGGGCATTGTGGGGCGTAGATGTGAACTCGTAAAATAGATGGTTTAGATTTTTGGGAAGGTGGTCTGCATGTGAGGCTGTATTCGTTAGGGTGGTTTGAGAAGTGTTAAACTTACCATCTAACGTGATTTAATCTGGAATATTAGTGAGACCAACATAATATTTCACCTAAGGTGTTGTTCAGAATTGTTTACATCTCGTGAATGGACCATTTTGGTCCATGCCACGAGATGAAAGTAGTGTTTGGTTCACTATGGATGGGACCGGTCCACATTATCTCGTGGACCAGTCCCGTCCACACCCTAATTTCTCGGCAACAACTTCTTCTCGTGGATGGATTTCTTCCACAGGTTGCCTTTGATAATGTGTTTCACGTACAGTATCTATAACCCTACATCTTGTTCAAGGTCTCCTCCGCCAAACCTCTACTACTGTGCTCCACCGCCACCGCCTCTACTATTGTGCTCCACCGCCATCACCTCTACTGCTGTGCTCCACCGCCATCACCTCTGCTATGCTCCACCGATGTTGTCCAAGTTCTTCACCGAAGGTAAGACCCATGTTGCATCATTTTTTTTTATCTTTAACGACATCCTCTCTTTTTTTATTTTCTCTTCACCAAACCTCTATGTTGCTTTCCTGTTTTTTCTTTTTTTGGTTTTTTTGTTTCTTTCTGAGTATTGCGTTGGTGGGTTTGTGGTCACAATTTCCAACATGCGTGTTCTTTAGTTATGGGTATTGCGCTATAGTCCTTTTCTCCTTTCTCTCTTTTATTCTTCTATTATCTTGATCATCTTTTCTTTCATTATTTAACTCTATTACAAGTTTTAGATTTCTTTTTATTCTATGAAAAACAGGTAGAAAATACTTAAAACCAAATTATACCTATGAATTTGCACAAAATTCCACTGATCACATTTTCTTGTGATTCAAACAGTCCTTGACATTATTACTGCTTGTGAATAGAATTGGTCATATGACACAATAATCTCAACTACAAGAATTTAGATTGGAAAAATAAAAGAAAACAAAGAATCAATTATAGTGATGAAATAAAATACTTATTTAAGTGCAATAGGATGATACTCATTCAGATGGGAGCAGAGTTGGGTCACCAATAGGATGATACTCCCTGTTAACCTCCACCACCTGTTTTGCTGATGAGAGCAGAGCTGGTTTTCGAATATGAAAGTTACTATTTTCAGGCCCCATAGAACTTATTAGGCAAAGCACAAACAAACCCATTTAGGCCACCACTAGGAATGTCAGCATCAATGAAATAATATTTTTTTAAATATTTAATATCTATTTTATATAATTTTAATTATTTTACTATTGTTTTATAAAAAATGATATTTTTTTGTTAATATTAATTCATTGATGCATTTTTTTTAAATATTTGTCATACAAAATGCAAAAATTACATATTTATGATTAACTGTGTATATCATTAATTTACATGGAATCAAAAAAGTGTGGTACACTACAGAAACACCACTATGGGTGTGGACTGGGCTTGTCCACAGTTTAGAACAACTATGGATTGTAGTGTGGTGTGGATTGGTCCCTGCCATAGGGTGTGGTGTGGACTCCAATTTCTCATCCAATCTAAATGCTCCCCATATAGGGCACCCCATAGGCCACAACACCTTTCCCAATGCACGATGAAATTTGCATGTGGAGTGCCAGTGGAATCTCGTGGACTCGTTGTTATCACTTAACTCCATGGTAGGATCCTACGCAAAGGTGATTTACAAATCACAATTCACAAACAATAATTACTCGCCGCCAAAAAAGATACAATAATTACTCGGCGCCTTAATATTCCCAATTATTCAGGGTAAATATTGCTTTCTTTGATGGCAAAATGATGGGTTGGCATGACCTAAAAGCAACCATTTCAATTATTTTATTAATTTTTTTCTGGTAGCCCATTTATCCATCAAAACTTGTATTAATGTAGGAGATTAGGAATGGTTGGTAAACCTTTTTTCTTTTTTATTGTCTATATAAAATGTTACATCAGCTATAAAAGAAAAGAAAAGAAAAAAAAACATGTTATACATGTTTTCTCAAAACAAATTGAATTTTGATTCAATAAAAAATACTCCTATTTATAAAAAAAAAATCATCATCATCTAAGCCTTGTCACAACCATATGGGATTAGCTACACGAATCCTATTTCACCGTTTCATTTGGCTTTGTACCATATTTTATAGGGCTCGACCATAATATTAGAAAGACATAATATTGAAAAAACTTATAACCAAACCAATCAACCAGCATCACAGTAATGGTAACCAATAGTTTACAAAAAATATATATATAATAATAACCAATCACATAAATTTTCATCAAAATTCACATGACAAAGTCTTTCTATTATCATAATATCATATCTTTCCAGCATCATGGATTTTTCATATCTTATTATCATATTTGATTTTTTTCTTCATTCTCACATGTTATAACATACATCTGCATGCACAAACCCCAACCAAAGGACCATTAAAAGAACACACCACCAGAAAAAGATAAAAATAAGGCCCTTGCTTTTATGCCATAGCTACATTGAACAAAGACTAAAAACATGCATTGTTAGAAAGAAATAGAATTAACAATCCGAAGAGATAAAGAGACACCGAATGAATGCCATAAAATACTACAAATTTCTGATCCATATGATTTATTGGGCTCTGCATTAAGCATTCAATCCTATATAAACAATGCAAAACCTAGTGCTGTTTGACGGATAATTTTCTCTTTTCCCAATAAAGATGGAAAAGTAATAAATATATATTCATTTTTCATTTTGCTTTTTGTCATTTGTTGAAGAGCTAATATTATAGTATTAATTAATACCACATACCTAACTACCAACACTCATTCGCCATTTGAAAAGAAATGGAAACGTATATGACAATCAATTCACAAGCATCATTACACATCTAAAAAATTATATTTAAGAAACTGTATTATTTTTTTCTTGGAGAAGTATGGATAGGCCTAATGTAAAATTTTAAATTTTACTGTAATTCTATAAACATTCAAAAATTCAAAAACTTACATCCTATACACCCATATCCGTCTGTAAATTGACATCAATTCCGAGCTGGCACCAATTGTATTTTAGGCCTATAAATTCTGACCCAGGGCTGAACAATCATTCTCCTTTTTTTTTGGCAAATAATTCAAAAAAATTATGCTCAAGATGCCATCAAATAATTATCATAAAGAATAGGTGCCAGTTAAGCAATTTGGTTCCTACTAATGTCATTATGGGTTCCACGAAGTCTCAATATAGTGTTTGCCAAAATTTGTTTAAATGTAGCCTTTTCATTTATATATGTATATATATTATTTAATTAAAATATAAAGAGAAATTTTAGAGTCTTTGGCATTGCTGTTGCTTCTAATCTCAACGTTTGTCCTTGGGCCTCTACTTGGTGCCATGTAAGTGTTTTGATTTCACCAAAACTTACACTATGTTTCGTTTGACAGATAACTACCAAAAAAGAAGTTGGACAGATTCTATGTTTCGTTTGACAGATAACTATCAAAAAAGAAGTTGGACAGATTCCGGTGTTTGTGCCGCCCTCCATAAGGGGTTATATGGTCACTTTTTTCTAGAGGTGTAAATCGGGCCGTGCCGTGGCCCGACACAATTGTATGGCCCGATGGGTTGTGCCAGGCTTGAGGTTTTAGGTCAGCGGGTCGGGCTGGCATGGCCCGCATTGTTGTGCCATGTTACCTGTGGCTTGGGGTTGGCTCGGCCCGACCCATATATATTATATATAAAAAATAATATATAATAAAATAAACAATTTTCTTTTTCAATTTTCTTATATTATATTATTTAATTATTGTATATATAAGCAATTATATACATCAAAATTCATATAAAATTAAAATTTTAAGTTTTTTTTTTCAAAATTTTAAATAAATAACTTTGGCTCGATCTGGCCCAAGGCCTAACCCACATACCAGCTTGGCCCGACCCACACTTTGTGTGGGCCGTGCCATGCCGACCCGTTTTACACCTCCATTTTTTTTCACCTTTAGGTTGTGTAAATTACTTTTGAAGAAAACACCTTTTTGACTTTCCCCCTTCATCGGATCATTTCCACTTCTGTCTTATGTGGTGTCAATTTTTTTTTTTCCTGAATTTTAAAGGCGTGTTCTGACAAAATGGTTGCTTTTGTTTTTGAAAACAAAATCAATTGCCATTTTAGCAAAATCAGTACAATTTTGCAGATGTGGAAGTAACAAAAACGACCATTATGTCTAATACTAAAATCAAATGCAAGCGTTGCTACATCAACCATGACACAAATCACACCCTTATATGCTCTCTTCAACGACTGTATAGTTTTCATAGGTCCCTTATGCATTATTATGAACAGTATTTTATTTAGAGTTTTTATGAATATTGCTTGTTTAATTGTTAAAATAATTAAATAATACAATTTTTTAAGGATATTGTGGTCTGCCTAACTTCAGTTTCAGCTATTAATGAATACACATCCTCTTTAAAATCTTATTCACTAGAAAACAAAGCAAAAAGTTTTTCAATTCAACATCTAGGGCGCTGTTATCAAACTGCCCATAAGGCTGTGTTTGATTTGAAAGAAAGGATAATAAAAGGAAGAAAAAGGTAGAGAAACCTACACCAAACACAGGCCAAACCACCCAAACGCAAAGGAGCAAAGGAGTAAGGCAAAAGCAAAAAAAATATTGAGTGCTTTTCTTTGTGAGAGGTCAAGGCCATCCCTATTGTATTTTCTTTATTGTTTGTACTCTCTCTATCGCTTGATTGCTTCCTTTGTCCGTCGGCATGAGAATCTTAACCAAGGAAATGGGAATTTCCCAGTAACCTTGCTTTTAAGTTTTAATTACAGTGTTGAAGGCCAGATGGGATTAGTCATTGGAACTGATGATTCAGCTTTAATCGTCGATCTCATTCCGAAAAGAAGAGCAACTTCTCGGTTGGCCGTTGTCGCCAGTAAACTACTTCTCAGTTTTCATTGAAATCGGATTTATTCCTCACATTTCCTGTAATATATATATATATATAACGGATATTCCTATTGTACGGATGGATAAATTTGACCAACAATGTATTGTGATCAGCAGATCCGGACTCAGCTACGGACATTAACACTTTGTGGATTAAGGACTACGGAACCAAATGTTGTGACTTGTGAGCCCTCTGAGCTCTCCAGCTTTTGCCTCAAAAATCAAAAACATGACCTGGCCCACAAGCCACGCACTGCAAAGCGATGGTTGTGAAACGGGTCCACTGCAGCGAATGGGAAAATCTGACTTCGTGCTAGATTATTAAAATATCTTAGATTTAATATTAATTTTAGAATGTCTCAAATTTTATCTAAATTTCTAAAACCTTAAGATTTCATAATTTCATTTCTAAAATATTTTTAATTTTAGTTTTTTTTTATAATTCTATTTAAAAAATAATTTCGAAATTTAATGTATTTTTAAGTAGTTGCTTCGAGATAAAAAAGTTGAAAGATTCCTTATCCTCATCTCTAATAGGTGATCTGCCCTGAACCTACCCCGCCACCAGCGATCGCCGATGGGTGTGGACGGGGTAGGGGATTTTGTGTAGAGGGTTCGAGATGCTCAAGTGTCATTCTTATCAATAGAGGATGACCATTAGGTCGGGTTCAATACGGGTTTGCCTAAATCCAAACCCAATCCGAAGTAGTATCGGTCTGAACCCAACCCGATCCAACTAAATGAAGAGGGGTACTGAACCTGCCCATCTTCAAGGCTGCTGTGTCAATGGCTCTGGTCAGAAAGGGTCCACTTCAACTCGAACCCAATCTGAAACCCGATCAAGACCGAACCGACCATAACCCACTAGGGTCGGGTCAATACGTTTTTTCACCTAACCCGACCCACTGACATCCCTGCACCGGGGTGATGAGTATCATTCGGGTCTTTGTCTGGTCGGGTCGAGGAACCAATCACATAACGGACCACGAGCACGGGATTTCCAACTTCCAAGTAGCGGATTCTAGACTCTAGAGACGACTTTTGATCCTTAGTTTTTCTCTGTATCCTGAGATTTGTGTGGTCTACAATTGTCCCGCCAACTCAAATATCAGCTCCATTTGCCTTCTCTTGAGCTCTACTCCCTTCCATCAGTGTCTGTAAGTTCTGCATTCGAAAATGGAGAGTTGTTGCTCCACAAAACTTTCAACGTCTTCTTTCTCTACTTTTCAGGTAATCTCACTTCTCCTTCAATGCTGCCTTGTGTCTCCGCTTTCCAAATTGGGTTCTGCTATTGAAGATGTTATCTGCAACGACAAGAATTTCTGAAGTAAAAAAGCTCTTCTTCGAAAACTATAAGAAGGAAATATGGGTTCTTTAATTCGTTCTTCATTCTTGTTCCCCATGTCCTAATTGATAGAGTTTGTTCTCAGTTTCGAATGGTTTCCAAAAGTGGATATAATTACATTGTAAAATTCCGAATACTGATTTGAGAAATTGCAAATTTCTCACCAGTTATATGGCATTTTGAGAAAGCTGAATATAGTGGGATGCATTTATACATTGTTCCAATACTCCCTAATATTTTATACGAGTACATGCCAATAAGAAAGGTTCTGTTGTTTGAATTTTCAAATTATTACGCCATTTCACTATTGTCATCCTAGATGAGCAAGCACCGGACCTTCCAAATGTCTCTTGAAAAAGTAAACATGTAAGATTCCATTTAATTTGTTTTTCTGGGTATGCAACTGTTTCGTTTAATGGCTTAGCTGGTTGATGATCAGGTCGAGTTTTGAAAGCAAAGTTGTGTGTATCTGGAACTTTTGTTAATTGGTTTTAATGGTGAAATTCACTACTACTTGAATTTTGTTATGTTGGCACTAGTTGGATTAGATGGTCATCTTCATACTGGATCACTGAATTAAATGGTATTGCAGGGGTTTTCTTCATCACCTGTTGTTAGGAGATTTTCTAAGAACACTTCACATCAGAGACTACTCTTCCACCCACATTCTAAACAATTTCTTCAACTTAATGACAGACTGCGGTCTTCTCTTTACCACCATACCAAGAATTCATACTTCTTACAAACGAATAGACGACCTATAGTTGCAGAAGCTAGCAAGCAGAGTTGGGATTTTGGCAGATTTTTGAAGACATTATACTTTTTTAATGGGCCTCCATCTCATTCTAATGTGGGTTACCGTTTTCATTTTCCTTTATGTCTTCATTAACCAATCATATATATTTCTTAAAGATATCAACTTTTCTCATGTTTTACCTAATGAGATCCTTTTCTCTGTGAAGTTCTTTGAATTTCTAATTGCAAAACTATCAAGCCCAAAAGCCAGTGAACCAGTAAAGGCAATGGAAACCTCGGATGTCATCCTAGTTGCTGGAGCCACTGGAGGTGTTGGGAGGAGGGTAGTTGATATCCTACGGAAGAAGGGGTTGCCAGTCCGAGTGTTGGTAGTCTTCTCTTTAACCATTGTGTTGTAACTTGGATGTTTGATTGAGCCAATAGAATTGCATATATATTGGAAAAAAAGATAAAGAAATAGAAACATGGAAAATAATTGTCATTTTCTTGGCTTTTGAATCCTATGGAAACTCGTTTCTTATTTTTTTTTTCCTTTTCCAAAGTTATTTCTCTCATGTGAATACTCTATCAGGTCAGAAATGAGGAGAAAGCAAAAAGGATGCTAGGTCCAGACGTTGACTTGGTAAGACATTCACCATCTAGTTGAAAATAACTGTAAGTGAACTAGTTCAGTGTGACGTGATTTGATAGGAGAATGTGGATGGTCACAGAAATGACAAGATCCCACTATTCAAATTTTATGTATTTATTTCTCAATGATTTATATTTTGCAATATAGATTTATAGAAAAACTTGAGATACATGGTGGGAAATATATAATTCCATCCTACTCTGCTTGTCTGAGGATCTGTTTGCTCATATTCAATCAATCCACACAAGAGACAGTTTCTTAGATGCCATAAAAGGCCACCACCCAGTTCGGGTCCATATGATCTACCTAACCTCCAGCACTTTAGCAAAAAGTGGCTACTCTCACGTGTGAACCTGTATTCTGATGCTTGCCGACCTCAAAGGCATGATTATATTTGATCAGAACCATGTTCATGAATTTAAGAACTTTTTATGTATCTTCTGATTATTTCAGAAACTCAGATGATTCTTAGATGCATGCCTTCAATCATCAATGTATTCATTTCTGATCACCAAAACAGTATCTGCACCAAGAATAACCATTGAATATATGTATGATGACACTAAAATGATGAAAACAATGAAACATTATGGATTGAAAGTATGGTAAAAACATCGGCAAATGGTTCAAGTACAGTACTTCGCAATAGGCAATTTCATTAGATGTGCAGTGATTTTTCTGAAGAGTAAATTAGCTAATTATTCCATTATTTATTAGTTTTCTGAAGCACCTCATTGGCTTTGCTGGTGTTAGTGTCAACTAAAATAAGGGTAGAATAGTCATTTGGGTTTTATTAATATGGTGATGTGTCTTTTAATTAAGTGCTGATGTGTCCAACTTAAATAGGGGCATAATTGACATTTGATACTTATCTTAGTAAATCTCCTTCAATTTTCTCCTTCTCTTCTTCTCTCCCTCTCTCTCTTACTTCTTCTCTTTTACAACAAGAACAGATCTGAAACTGACGAATATAAATCGTCACATGGAATCAGGTGATTGGTAGAGAACCCTCTAATTGATGGAACGAAGAGGGCTGCAACAGTAGGTTCGTGGTAGGTTCAGATGTGTGGTTCAGATCAGTGGGTTGAAGGCTTAGTATTAGTCGTATGGTGGTAGGTTCAGATGTGTGGTACTCTTGTCTGTGATGTGTTTGTTGTAGAACCCTGCTACAGTGAAGCATCTGCACTCTGTTCAGAAGTCAAACTCGCTAATCCCTGCAAAAAACACAAAAGCTGATAAAGTTCTGAAATCAGTGGGCTGACACTTGTACCGGTCCTCCAATATAAAATCAGAGGATATGGATATGACCCAAGGAGGCAGTTCAAGACAGGGGTTTTTCTCAGAAAATTGTGTGTTAGAGTTGAATTGGAAGCCCATATTTATAATGGGGCATCCATCACTCAACGTTACAAAAAATTATAGATAAGAGGAATACCCCTTCTTATCCGAGATTCTTCTAACCTCCTGGACTCTTTCTGCCTCTTGGTTCAAGGGACAAGTGTCCCACAAGGTAGGATTAGTTGCCCAGTTTTCTCAACTACCTTGCCAAACTTTGACCACACCAAGCAAGAGTCTTGCTGACATGGCTTTAGTTTGATTAAATGTAAATAGGCCTAGAAAAGGGAGACTAGTCAAAGATATTTTCCCATTGGTGTAGGCTATGCCAAGCAAGAGTCTTCTGAATCGAGGGCATCTGGCCACTTAGATCAACATTTGTGAGGTGCCGAAAGTGACAATAGTGGGGGTTAACATTGCTGAAACCAGTGACTGTATGTTTCAGCAATGGTTAGTCGTATGGTGATGAGTGATTAACTTGAGGAGTGAAGTACAGTGTTGTTGGAGTGCAGTGTAGTGATTACTGGGTAAGGCAGGTTGAAACAGGAAAAAAAAAGTTTTTTTTTACAGCCATGGGAGATAATGAACATAAGTCGGTTATGATCCCTCAAGACTACTTGAACGTACAAATGACCTCAATTAAATTGAATGGAGAAATTTACGTACCTTGGGCCAAATCTGTTGAAGTGTTTCTCAGAGCCAAGAAGAAAGTAAAGCATATAAGAGAAGAAAAACCCCCCAGTTGATTCCCAGGAGTATGGTGATTGGGAGCAAGAAGATGCACAGATTATGACTTGGCTGTGGAATAGTATGGAACCTAAGATTAGTGTAAACTTCATGTTCTTAGACACAACCAAGGAAATTTGGGATCATGCAAGGAAGCTTTATTTAGGGCAAGATAACACCACCAGAGTATATCAATTCTATCAAGAGTATTTTATTCTGCAATAGGGTAACCAAAGTCTTGAAGAGTATTATGCTAGTCTGAGAAATTTGAGAAATGAGTTGAGTGTGTATCACCCCCTTACATTTGATGTTAAAATTCAGCAACAACAAAGAGAGCAACTTGATGTAACCAGATTTCTGGTGGGACTGAAGCCTGAATATGAACCAGTGAGGGCTTAGATACTAGGTGGGTCTGCCCTACCCTCTCTCGAGGAGGTGTTTGCCCGTCTCTGGAGGATTTCTGTTGGCCCTCCAGAGAACCCCACCATATCCGATAGGACTGCCCTTGCGGTGGCTAGAGGGGGTGGCCGTGGTGGTAGAGGTGGACACATGTACAGTCGTGGTGGTGGACATGTTGGAGGTCGAGATTCAGGGGGAGCTCGTGGTAGAGGATGTAATCATGGTCCGAGAAAGTGTACACATTGTGGTATGAATGGGCACACTGTTAATTTTTGCTAAGATCTACATAGCCCACCGTCATCCTGGGCTAATCATGCAGTGGCAAGTGGTGATATGGAACAAGGGAGTCAATAGACCGGTCAGACACCTTCACCTATAGATGCCTCTGGACAAGAGATGATGAGTATTTCACGTACTGAATATGAGCGATTGATCCAGGCTACTTCTTAGCCGAGTACAGCTACACTTGCCCACCCAGGTATGGCTTGTCTAGCATCCAAACCCTCCCACTGGATCATTGACTCTGGAGCTTCCGATCACATGACTGGGACTCCAGGTGTGTTCTCTTCACTTTCTTCATCCTCTAAAACCCACACTGTCACCCTTGCTAATGGTTCCACTTCTTCCATAAGTGGTATTGGTGATGTTAAAACTGGTTCATTATCTTTGTCTTCAGTTATGTATGTACCCAAATTTCCTTTTAATCTTATGTTTGTTGGTAAATTGACCAAGTCTCTTAATTGCTCTATCGCCTTTTACTCTTTATCTTGTGTATTTCAGGATCTCAAGACGGGGATGAAGATTGGTGGAGGGCATGAAGCTGGTGGACTGTATTACCTTCATGGTGGTGGTGGTGGTGGTTCTTCAACAGCTCTTTAGTCGTCTCTCACCCCTCTCCAGTGGCATTGTAGACTTGGGCACCCGTCTCTTAAAGCACTTAAGCAACTTGTTCCAGCATTGAATTGTCTTTTTACTTTGGATTGTGAGTCGTGTCAGTATGGGAAACATCATCGGGTTTCCTTCAGTCCTAGAGTCGATTATCATATGCCGAGTCCTTTTTCTTTGGTCCATTCGGACATTTGGGGTCCAAATAAAATAGTGTCACACAATGGATACAAGTACTTTGTTATTTTTGTTGATGATAATTCAAGGATGACATGGCTTTATCTTATGAAAGGACGAAGTGAATTATTTTCTATTTTCCAAAAGTTTCATGCTGAAATCCGCACTCAATTTGGTATTCACATTAAGATCCTATGTTTCAATAATGGCTGAGAATATTTTTATACATCATTTCAACAATATTTAGAACAACATGGTATTATTCATCAAACCTCTTGCTCTTACACCCCCCAACAAAATGTGGTAACTGAACGGAAAAATCGTCATCTCTTAGAAACTGCTCGGTCCTTGTTGCACCATACGAATGTACCTAAACGTTTTTGGAGTGATGCTGTGCTTACATCTTGCTTTCTTGTTAATAGAATGCCTATGTCCATCCTTGATGGTTAGTCTCCCTTCTTTGTTCCGTTCCTACGTTGTCTCCTTTTCCTCTTACTCCTCGTGTTTTTGGGTGTGTGTGCTTTGTTCATAATTTTGGTCCCGGATTGGACAAATTAGATGCACGATCTACGAAGTGTGTCTTTCTTGGCTATTCTAGGACCCAGAAAGGGTACGTGTTACAATCCCAGTTCTTGACGTTGTTTTGTGTGTCCCGATGTTACCTTCTTTGAGTCGGTTCCGTTCTTTTCTGGGTCAAATGTCTCTTCCCCTTCTTTCCTTCCGCTTCCAGTTCCTGTTGCGGACCCCATTCCTCTTGTTCCAGCTACGCCTAAGTCTTCACCTCTGGTGCCACTTCCTCCTACATGGCCACCTATCCATCAAGTGTATACGCATTGACATGCACCGGCCCCTCCAGCTTCTTCATCGTCGATGGATCCAAAAGTGACTTCCGCAGCACCATCACCCCCCGTTTCTGACCTTAACCTTCCCATTGCCCTGCGGAAAGGTAAACATGGTTGTACCCTTCATCCTATCTCCAATTATGTTTCTATTTCTCACCTATCTCCTTTCCATCAACAATTTGTTTCATTGTTATCTTCTGTTTTTGTTCCTAAGAATGTCCAGGAAGCCCTTATCTCTTCAGGGTGGCGTCAGGCGATGGAAGAAGAACTCTTCGCTCTAGCTCATAATCATACGTGGGATCTCACCACTCTTCCCCCGAGTAAGCATATTGTTGGCTGTAAGTGGGTATATACGGTCAAGTATTTGCCTGATGGTAGTGTTGAGAGATTGAAAGCTCGGTTGGTTGCCAAGGGTTATTCACAGTTATATGGTATTGACTACACAGAGACCTTCTCTCCTGTTGCCAATATTGGTTTTGTTCGTGTTTTAATCTCCCTAGCTGCTATACATGATTGTCCCTTGTTTCAGCTTGATATTAAGAATGCTTTTTTGCATGGTGATCTTCTTGAAGAAGTGTATATGGAGCAACCACCCGGGTTTGTTGCTCAAGTGGAGGATGGTAAGGTGAGTAGGCTCAAGAAAGCTATTTATGGACTTAAACAGTTCCCTTGTGCTTGGTTTGGCATATTTAGTGAAGTCGTAAAGAAGTTTGGCATGAAACAGTGTCAGGTTGACCATTCAGTATTCAACTATGACTCTGATGCGAGGAAGATTTTGTTAGTGGTTTGTGTTGATGATATTGTTATTACTGGCAGTGACATGCTCGGGATTGACAGGTTGAAAACATTTTTGCATGATCATTTTCAAATAAAAAGACCTTGGCAAATTGAAATACTTCTTAGGGATAGAAGTGACAAGGTCCAAGTATGGTATTAATTTGTGCCAGAGGAAATATGTTCTTGATCTATTGGAGGAGACAGGCTTATTGGGTGCCAAACTAGTGGAAATACCCATGGAATTGAATGTCAAGTTGAGTAGTGATACAGGTGAGGAGTTTGAAGATCCAGGAAGGTACAGAAGGTTGGTGGGCAAGCTAAACTATCTAACTATCACTCGTACCAAATATCTCATTTCCAGTGAGTGTGGTGAGTCAATTTATGCAGAATCCTCGGGTTCCACATTGGGACACAGTCCTAAGGATTGTAAGGTATTTGAAGGGAGCTCCTGGTCGTGGCTTGCTATATAAAAGTGGTGGAAATATTGAAATAGAGGGATATACAGATGCTGATTGGGCTGGATCTATATCTGACAGAAGGTCTACTACAGGTTATTGTACTTTCCTTGGGGGTAACTTGGCGATATGGAAGAGCAAGAAGCAGACCTTGGTGGCAAGAAGTAGTGCAGAAGCTGAATACAGAGCCATGGCACATACAACTTGTGAACTAGTGTGGTTGAGAAATCTCCTACAAGAGATGGGGTACTCGATACTGCTCTAATGAAGCTATATTGTGACAACTAAGCTGCAGTTCACATCTCCTCTAACCCAATTTTTCATGAGAGAACAAAACACATAGAGGTTGATTGTCACTTTGTGAGAGAAAAGGCTCTTAGTGGAATGATAAGTACAACATATGTCAATACAGGGAGTCAATGGGTAGACTTGTTCACCAAAGGGTTGATTCAGGCAAGAGTGGATTACATATGTAACAAGCTGGACTATATGATATATACTCCCCAGCGTGAGGGGGAGTGTTAGTGTCAACTAAAATAAGGGTAGAATAGTTATTTGGGTTTTATTAATATGGTGATGTGTCTTTTAATTAAGTGCTGATGTGTCCCAACTTAAATAGGGGCATAATTGACATTTGATACTTATCTTAGTAAACTATATATCCTGGCCGACCTAAGAGAGAATGAGAACAATTCTCTTCTCTTGGTTCGAACAGGTTTCTTCTCCTTCATTTTTCTCCTTCTCTTCTTCTCTCCCTCTCTCTCTTATTTCTTCTCTTTTACAACAAGAACAGATCTGAAACTGACGAATATAAATCGTCACAGCTGGTAATGGCTTGTATTAAAGCTTGGAAGTAGGATTGTAGGAGGTGACTCCATTGTGAAGTTCCATCTCCAAGCTGCAATTAAACTGGCTCCATCTCCAAGTTGATTGTGCCCAATTAAACTTTAGGAATCATTTAGGAAATGTAAGCAGTACACATGAAGATGACTCCATTGTGAAGCTCCATCTCCAAGTTCCGAGCATTTCCTGATACTTATATTTTCATTGGAAGTTTCTGACTTGTCTCATTGGTGTTTCTATGTTTTTTTATTAATTTTAGTGTTTTCATGTTTCCGTGGATTTACCGTTTTAAAGGGAAACCACATACAGTGTAGTTAAAGCATCCTCTAGATGTCAAATAGACAACTGCATAGGTGTTTTGGAGGCCAATCACCTAAATGACCAGCTAGGTGGGAGGTACAGCAGTAGATATAAACATCTTAGTGGGGGCAAATGACTAATTACCTCCTTTATGTATTGTAAGTGTTTACAATCTATTTTGCATTGATAGGAGTATATTTGGAGCTAAAAACCAGGGCTATTCATCTCTCTGTGTGTATATCCATTTTCCATTGAACCAAAGTGGTTATTAAAAAATCTTGTTATTTTTTCCTAAAAATCTTTTCAAAATTGTTATCTAATAACTGACTGATTTAATTTGTGATTCAATAGCTTGCAATTAACATGCAAATATATAATTTATGTATGGTCACATAACTTCATTATAAAACATTTATTTATTTATTCAATTTTGTCACATAGGCAATGCCTAGTTGTTGCCTAAGCATTGATGCTCCTTGCCAACCCAAAACTCCTAGGCATCATCTAGCTGCCTTAACAACGGTGACCACATATCTTCCATTCCATACAAGTAATTGAAACTTGTTTTCTATTATGTACAGAAACAAAAAGCAAGACATAGCAACAATTCTTTGATAGCTTGATGGGGTTGGGGTTGGGAGAAGAAATGTGATTGCAAGCAGTGTCTCATAGGGGGGGGTGCTTTGGTAAGGAGAACATGCAAGTAAGTTCAGAACCTACGTAGGTAGCTTGATTTGCACTTTGGTATCAAGTATTGGCATAATCTTGAGTGCAAATGTAAACTATTAAGTGGAGTGTCAAATTCCCTCTAAGAGGGAACTTGAATACAACCCTTCTCTGTAACATGCACTTCTTATAATTTCTCTTGTATCAGCCTGCATAACTTTTTTGTGATTGTTATCTGGTTTATCTCTAAGCTCTGTGCTAAGGGGAGTAACTCCAGTTTCAGAATTTTGGCAATATTGGATGTACATTTAAAACGGATCTTGACATTTTTATTTAGAAAAGATTTTTTTATCATAGATTTCTTGTTTCCAATCATTGCTTACTATTTATATAGTTTTTCATGTATGCCAGATTTTTCTATGTGCATGTCTTTAGTTTCATATTGATGAACAAATTTAGCATGTCTCGTAATAAACTGAGGATGTGTCTGCATTTAGACTTATCCTAAGTCATTATTATATCAGACTTTGCATCAGAATCAGGAAATGTCTAATTGCAGGACTTGATTCAGTAGGGATGTTCATAGCATGCATTGTATTTATGGGTGGGGAAAATTGTGCAGTTTTGCCTACAATATCTTTGTTACTTGCACATTTCACATCATTCTGTATCTTACTGTTACAGATAGTTGGAGATATTACCAAAGAGAGCACCCTGGTTCCTGAGCATTTCAAAGGAGTGAAGAAAGTCATTAATGCTGTTTCTGTCATTGTTGGCCCAAAGGAAGGGGACACTCCTGACAGGGCAAAATACAGCCAAGTAAGATTTTGCACTCTTCTTGGATTATGAAACTTCTGTTCCTCTAGCTGATGACATTTAAGAAGCCTATGAACCATTTTTCTAATGGTTGTTTTATCCCTATCATTCACTTTTGACATTTGAACCTCCTGATATGGTGCAGGGAATCAAGTTCTTTGAACCAGAGGTGCTGAATTGATTGCATATATTGTATCAGGAGTTATTTTCTTTCTTTAATAGAAAGTTTGATTTTGCCTCTGGATTTCTTATATGTTCTATATGGCTTAGATATTTGGTTCTGACTAAACTTGATGATTTGATTTTATTATTCCAAATAGATAAAAGGTGATTCACCTGAAATGGTGGAGTACTTGGGAATGAAAAATCTACTTAATGCTGTAAAGAAGAGTATTGGACTACGAAATGGAAAATTGTTATTTGGATTTGAAGGTACATTCTTCATGCATCTCAAGGATATTGAATGACACCCATGCTGTTTGAATTACCTGACATTCTAAGAACTGTAAGTCCTGTTGTGAGATTTGCAAAAATTATGTATGGGTCCTAACAGAATCATCTTTAAAGAAGAAAGATTCACACTAATAATTTCTACTTTTGGTTATTCACTATATCATTTCCTATGCCAATGTTGGAGTAATAAGTTGTTAGTATCATGCTATTGGGACAATGTGACTTCTCTGTCCTATGCATATTTGTTTTCATATGCATCTCATTATTTTTAGTTGGTCATGCCTCTGGTGTTAAGTATGAAACCAAAGTTCGTAGAAGCAATAAATTGGTGGAGTCAGAACTTCCAAAACTGACGTGAAACATGGTTGAGTAATAGGAAAATAATGTAAAAACTGACAAGTTAGTGGCTTCAGCATAATAACTCGTATTTATAAATTATGGCATATAAATTGGCAGTCATACCCAGCTTGGCTGGGAGCAAATGAGTTAGAACTTTAAGCCATAGGTTTACAGTCACTTTTAGATGTACATGTTTTATTTGAAGATATAGATCATTTCTCTTTCATTGTGCAGATAATTTATCTTTTGTTTTTTTGGTAAAATGCAGATAATTTATCTAAAGAACTCCCTTGGGGTGCTTTAGATGATGTTGTTATGGGAGGAGTTAGTGAAAGTGCATTTCAGATCTATCCAACTGGTAGTGAAAATGGTGGACCTACAGGGCTTTTCAAAGGTTTACTTGTCAAATTGTTAGCTTTAAGTGTTTTATTTTCTAGAACATTAAAGTGGTTACTTATTATCTTTGAATGGTTCTTTCTTTTATTTCAGGTGTTGTTTCAACCAAAAACAATGGTGGTTTTACTAGCATCAGGACAAGGGTAAGCCTGAGTTTTTTCTTTAGATGTTCATTTCCTAGTAAAATATTGTTTAGGGCTGCAACCGGATCGGATCAGATTCAGTAAAGGGTATATCCAATCCAATCCGATAAAAAATCCAATTGATCCGAATCTGATAAGAATCCCTCGGATTTTCAAGAGTATGTTTTGAATTCGAATTTCTTATCAGATATCTGATTTGATTAAGATTGTAATAAAAAATTATGATATGATATAAATAATATTATATTATTTACACTATAATAATAAATTATAATATATAATACATAATACATAATATAAAATATATAATTATATAAATAATATATAAAATATATATAGAATGTACATATATAATATATAAATAATATACAATATATTATACTTCATAACTAACATATTGGATCGGGTTGCGGCAGATCGGATCAGGGTATATCTGAATTCGATCTGCTAACTAAACAGACCAACTTTTCTGATCTGATCCGATTTGTTAGGATCAATGGAGGTATCTGAGTCTGGCTCTTATCAGATTGAATTTGGATCGGATCTGATCTGACTTATTTGCAGCCCTAATATTGTTTTCTGTTTAATTATTTTCCATATTTTCCCATTTCCTTGTAAATCAAGTTATTTTTCTCCATCATGGTTCAAGATAGAAGTTGTGTTATTGAATTTGAACATTTTTATGGGTATTGTGAATCTAAGCAATATTTGATGATGACAGATTTATATAAAGGCCATTACCCAATGTTGGTCCCAGTTATCTGGGGTCTTGGGAGGGGTAGACTGGATACAGTCCTGACCTTTGGCATCATACATATTACATTATTACTGTATAGGATACCTATTTTGTCGAGACCCTAAACTCATTGGTTGGCATTCACACATATTACTATAAAGTGGTTCAATGGTTTTAAATTTTTTTCTCTCATTTTATTCTATTGACAGTACATGTATCATTGACCTGCAATTTTAGAAGTTCTACTGAATGCTGAGTAATATACATTCGAATAACTTACTTCATAATTTCAAGAAAATGTAATTTAATTGGTGTTACTGGCAACTTATTTCCTAGTTAATCTAAATTGTCATTGTTATTTTCTATTATTGATTGAATATGCTCAAATGGCTGTGCCAGTCTTCTGAACCTGATCCACTCCAATAAAGCAAGATATTGTGAGAATTTACTGATGGATCTTCCTGTCTTAAAGAATCCTGATCTTTTTAGGAGGCTTCAAATGGGTAATTAGCAGTATACTTTACAGTCTTTGTGGACTGAAGTTCGAACCAGTTAGGCCTACCAACAGTCTGGGTCAACCCAACGGACCCAAACCTATTGTATCCATTACAAAGGATCTGGGCCTACATTTTGTCTCCCAATTATTAAAGGATCAATTCTGAGTATTCATTAGTGAATACAATGAAATGGTTGTACCAGTCTTCTGTACCTGATCTATTCCAATTAAGCAAGAGATTATGAAAATTCATTGATGGATCTTCCTGTCTTACTTAAGGAATGGTAATCTTTTAGAAGTACTCAAATGGGTTAATTATCAGCCTACTTTTTATGGGATGATTGGAACCAGTTAGGCTTAACAAAGGTCAGGTTCGGCCCAACAGATCCAAACCTATTGGACGCTATTAAACAGGATCTGGGCCTATAGTTTCAGTCCCAGTTATTAACACGATCAATTCTGGGTCTTCGTTTTGAGTTCTGATTATAATAGGGTCGGGTCTGGTTTTTGACAAATTAATACAAGTTTTCCTTACCTTCTCAAAATAACAACAACAATAATAATAGGGTCAGTACTGGTTTTGCCTGTACCAAACTGATTATGTAAGAGAATACATATATATTGACAAATATGCTCCAACATTTTATGTATGCTTCTCATGATTTGCCTATAATAACATCAGATAAAATGTCAAGAGTTATCATTTCATAGGGGATATGTAAGATATTTGAGAAGAGTCAGAAAGAGAACTATCAGGTTTATTGTCAATTATCAGGCTAAAGGCCTATCAGTTGTAATTGGGTCTTATCAGGCCAAACCCAATAAACCTTATTAATAATATAGTCAGTTCTGGATCTATTACTTAAAGGCCTTGTTATGCAGGAGAGAAGAAGAGAGGAGAGAAGAGAGATCTGAGAGCCAAAAAGTACTGCTGGCGGTGCCAGCTTTTGGTATATATACTAGCGTGACAGGATATAAAAAATAAAAGGAGAAAATTACAATAGTACCTCTGTGGTACTATACTTAGAGAATTAACAGCCTTTTAACACTCCCCCTCAAGTTGGGACATAGATATCAATCATGCCCAACTTGTCACATAAATCATGATGCCGTGAGTGGTGTAACCCTTTTTTAAAGATGTTTGCAAGTTGATCTTTAGAGTTAACATAAGGAGTACACACTTCTCCTGTGATGACCTTTTCTCTGATAAAATGTTTGTCGACTTCGATGTGCTTATTTCTATCATACAACATTGGATTAGCAGCAATGTTTATAGCTGCTTTGTTATCACAGAATAGGGTCATAGGTTCGTCAACTAACCCAACTCACTCAACAAATTCTTTAGTCACATAATTTTAGGCACTCCATGAGACATTGCCCGATATTCAACTTCAACACTAGATCTAGCTACTACATTCTGCTTTTTTCTTGTCCAGGTAACTAGATTACCTCCTATAAAGGTACAATAACCACTAGTTGACTTTCTGTCATTCAGGGATGCTGCCCAATTTGCACCAGTATACACTTCAATTTTCAAATGTCCATGCTTTTGAAACAACAAGCCTGCACTTGGGAACTTCTTAAGATATCTGAGAACTCTTTCTGCTGCTTCAAGATGGGTAGTCTTAGGGGATGCATGAACTGGCTAAGAACACCCACTGCATAAGTTATGTCTGGTCGAGTCATAAAAGTATATAACAATCTTCCTACAAGTTTCTGGAACTGTTTCACATCCTTGATGGGTTCACCTTGACAGTCACCTAGTTTGTGGTTAGGATCAATAAGGGAATCAACTGGCATCACTCCCAATTTTCCTGTATCCTGGAGTAGATCTAGGAGATACTTTTTTTGGGAAATGAAGATACCCTTTTGTGAGTGGGCCACTTCAATCCCAAGGAAGTACGTTAGGAGGACCTAGATCCTTCACTTCAAATTGGGTAGCAAGAAAATTCTTCAACTTCTAAATTTCATCATTCCAATCACCTGTGATAACTATATCATCAACATATACTATCAATGCTGTAATTTTCCCTTCCCCTCTTTTCACAAACAATGTGTGATCAGATTGACACTGCTTGTATCCTCTTTGCTGTACTGCTACATGGAACCTGTTGAACCAAGCTCTTGGTGATTGTTTCAGCCCATATAATGATTTCTTTAACCTACACACTTTCTGTTCATTATCTTGAGCCTGAAAACCAGGGGGTTGTATCATGTATACTTCCTCTTCAAGGTCACCATTTAGAAAGGCATTCTTGATGTCATGCTAATGAAGATCCCAATTAAGATTAGCAGCTAGGGAGAAAAGGACTCTAATGGAGTTCATCTTAGCAACAGGTGCAAATGTTTCTGCATAATCTACTCCATACACTTGTGTAAACCCCTTTGCCATTAAACGAGCTTTATACCGTTCCACGGTGCCATCAACCTTGTGTTTAACTGTAAAAACCCATTTACATCCAACTGGATCCTTCCCCTCAGGAAGATCTACTAACTCATGTGACATTTTTATGTAACGTATTAATTTCTTCCTTCATAGCATCTGTCCATTCAGGTATCGAAAGAGCTTCTGCTGCATTCTTAGGGTTAGGAACACTGTCAATGGAAGAGAGAAAAGTCTGAAAGGAGGGTGAAACGTTTTCATAGGAAACAAAGTGGGAAATGAGGTGTTTAGTGGTGCAAGATCTAACACATTTCCGGTGAGCAATAGGAAGGTCAAGGTCATTAGCAACAGAAGTATCAATAGCAATAGGGTCAGGAACATCAACAAGAACCAAGGTACCTGAATGGGTATGATCTGCCCTCGGAGAGTCTGATGGCATTGGTGGTACAGCTTCTAGGTGCCCCACAACTCTTGAACATGGTTGGCCTTTGTGACGACGAAAGAAGACACGGAAGGGAGGAGGATCAGGAAGAGGAGGGAGCTGAACTAGTTTCTCCTCATTCTTACACTCCCCCTAAGGAGAAACAGGGAAGAAAGGCTCACTCTCAAAGAAGGAGACATCCATAGAAACATAAAATTTCCGAGAAACTGGATCAAAGCACCGGTATCCCTTCTGAGTGAAGGAGTACCCGAAGAAGATGCAAGGAATGGCACGAGGATCTAATTTTCCACGAGTGGGTGGAAGATTTTGAACAAAACAATGACAACCAAACACACGAGGAGGAATAGAAAGAAGGAGAGCCTTAGGAAAAAGAAGCTGATGTGGGGCTTTGCACTCTAACCAACGAGAGGGCATGCGGTTGATGAGATAGGTAGCACAAAGGACAGCCTCAAGCCAAAAACGTTTTGGGACATTCATATGAAATAGTAACCCCCGGGCCACTTCAAGAAGGTGTTGATTCTTTCTTTCAGCAACACCATTTTGTTGTAGTGTTCAGGTACAAGAGCTACGGTGAAGTGAGCCACGCAATGCAAAAAACTCCATAAGATCACTATGAAAATATTCTTTGGCATTATCCGATTGAACATTTTGGATTTCAGTTTGAAATTGGGTGAAGATCATCCGCTGAAAATCTTGGATAATTTTTGGTACTTCATCCTTGGTTCGCATGGGATATACCCATGTATATCTGGAGTAATCATCGATAATGGTAAGAAAATATTTATAGCCACTTTCAGATGGTAAAGTAACAGGGCCCCAAACATCATAATGAACAATGTGGAAAGGAAATTCAGATTTATTATTCTTTGAAGAGAAATGAGTTCTACACTGCTTACTCAATTGACAAGTTTGACAAGTAAATTCTGACACTGATACTGACTTAAACAACTCTGGAAACACAAATTTCAAAGACTTAAATGATAAATGACCAAGACGACTATTGCCATAAATAGACCTGACTCTTAGACTCTGTGACTTGAAGACTAACCTTATTCTCCAGCATGTAAAGTCCATCCACCTTACATCCTTTACCAATCGTCTTCCCCGAGGCTAGATTCTGGATCTCACAATAAGAAGGGAAAAAGGTCATTGAACAACTTAAGGAAAGAAGGTCACTGAGCAATTTAAAGAATTAGTAATACTACTAACAGAGAACAAATTAATGGGAAATTTTGGAACATGTAAAACATTAGATAGGGTAAGGCCAATGGGAAGAGAAATGGTTCCTTGACCAGCTATGGTAGAGTATGATCCATCAGCTAGTCTCACCTTGACTTTTCCAGAAAGGAGGTGATAGGTTTGAAAGTAAGAGGACTTACCAGCCATATGTTTAGACGCTCCAGAATCAATGATCCAAGGAGTGTCAGGGGTATGAGATGCTACATGGAAAGTTGTGGCAGAGTTACCTGATGTAGACGCAAATGAAGTTGAGGGAGGAGCATCCATCTGACGAATTGCTCTACCATAGAGCTCTAAATGGTCACAGAAGGACTTAATAGTATCCTCCCTTGGGTCAGATCCAGAGGCGTGTGTCTGAGTCACAGTAGTAATGGGGGGCTGATTCTCCTGAGTAGCCATATTTTCCATAGTGTGCTTTCTTGTACCTTGCTGTCCTGACTTTTTATTTAGATATGAACCTTGCTTCTTACTCAGATCTTGAGCAAATTTTGGCTTCCCATGAAGATTCCAACATCTGTCTCGGGTGTGTCAAGGTTTCTGGCAATGAGTACACCACAATTTGTCCTTGTCATCCACCTTTTTCTAAAAATCCCCCTTTTTAAAAGTATTTCCCCCACCTGTAGTAACACTCCCTTTCGCTGCCAACATGACTGCATCCCCTCCAGAATTGTTCATCAAATTTCTTCTGCTTTCTTCTGATTGTACTAGAGCATAAACTTCCTAGACGGATGGAAGATCCTTGCTACCTAGGATCTAGACTCTGATAGATTCATATGCAGGGTTCAAGCCATGTAGGAAAGCAAACACTCTTTGCTAGGAAACAAGTTTTTTGCACAATTTTGCATCTTCATCACACTTCCAGTCCACACTTTGATAATGGTCTAACTCCTTCCAGATAGAGGTCAAGTTTGAATAGTACACAGGCAGACACCTCTCCCCTTGTTTATAAGTGGACGATTCTGCCTGTAACTGGTAGATTTTTGCATAGTGACGTAGTTCAAAATAGGTTGATTTTGCTTGTTCCCATATCTCATTTGCCGTTTCAGCCCACATAAAATTCCTTCTTATTTGAGGTTGCATAGACACTAAAAGCCAGGACATGACCATGTTGTTTTCTTAGTTCCATCTGTCATATTCAGCACTCCCAGAATTGGGTTCTTTATTCTCCCATTTATATAACCTATCTTTCCCCTTGCAGTGATGTACAAATTGATCCCTCTTGACCACTCTAAATAATTTAAGCCATCGAGAGGAATAACAGCCATGGGAAAGGATATGTCCACACCCCCACTCATTCGATTCTGCATTGAGGAAACACTGGATGTAGCAGAATCTTCACCACTCATGATTACATATTCAAAAACTCTTAAAATGGGCACAAAACCTTAAAAAAAAGGGTCTAACACCAAGGGAGAAAGGAAACCCCTTTTTTTCTTCGGAAACACAACCCTTTTCTGTAAAACACAGGTGCTGTTACAGCACTAACAGGTCATCCCTTGACCTACAGAATTAAACACAGGTGCTGTCACAGTGCATACAGGTCATCTCTTGACCAATGCATCAACAGAAATGCTGTTACAGCAAGTACAGGCCACTCTCTGACCTTCAGTGCACCATAAAAGCTGCTATTGCAGCACACAAAAGGTTTTCACGACCTACAGTTTATACAGGGGTCTGTCGACCCCACAAAAAAGGAAAGAAAGAGGTGCTGATCACCTCGCATCCAACCAGAAGACCTAGTACAGGTTCTGCCCTGGCACACGACCAGAAAAAAGAGGAGAGAAGTTACTTCAGTGCGTGAGAAACCTTGATCTTCAATCATCCGAACAGTAGATGAGGGCGGCAAATCTGGTGCAAAGGAAACTGTTCACTCGACCTCTCCTTTCAGATCTGATAGTCCCGCTCTGATACCATGTTATGCAGGAGAGAAGAAGAGAGGAAGAGAGAAGAGAGAGAAGAAGAGAGAAGAGAGAGAAGAAGAGAGAAGAGAGATCTGAGAGCCAAAAAGTACTGCTGGCGGCACCAGCTTTTGGTATATATACTAGGGCAACAGGATATAAAAAATAAAATGAGAAAATTACAATAGTACCCCTTCGGTACTATACATAGAGAATTAACAGCCTTTTAACAGGCCTTATGGAGTCTGAGTGTTTTCTTATTTGAACTGTCTTATCCAATACATTATTTGAACTGTATAAAACTGGAACCAGCAAAGGATAGAACTAATAGGTTACGTTGAAATATAAGAGAACTAAAGCTGGTTGAAGGAAAAACCTACAGAAGAAGTTCTGTTAAGGATGAATCCTTTTTTCCTTTATCCTCCATATGATATTGACCTATAAGTAAACTTGTAACGGGAATTTCGTTCCCCTTTAAGAGGGAGAGGTCATTTTGTGAAACTAGCATCCTTTTAAAAGGGAAGTCTATTTTGTGCACCAAAATCTCTAGTTACTCTTTATAGACTGACTGTTCTTAACCATGGCATTACTAGCGGTCACAGAATCTTCATTACAAGTAGTACAAGCTCAAACCTGATTTTCAATTACTGCATCTAAGCTTCAGTCTTACTAAACTTGGTGAATTACTCACTTTAGTCAACCCAGTTGTGTAAGTTAAATATAAAACTAGTTAACAGTTTAAAGAAAAACAAAATGCTGAGATATTTGTTCAATATAAGTAAGCAAAACCTATTTTCTTGGACATGTGGTCTAGCTCAGCTAGGAGAAATGTGAAGGGTCTTCTCTTTTCTTTCCAAGTTTGCTTTGAGAATGAAGCTGCAATAATTCATTTTGTAGACTTCTATAAATCCTCTCATATACGTTTTCTTCCTTTCTTTACTGAAATAGTTAACTTCTGAAAAAAAAGAAAAGCACAAGGACCTAATAGCACATTTATTAGGTGGGTAGTAATTCAATAAGTGATCTTCTGTTCCTTAAGGACAGAAGATGAAAGGACTCTCTCTCTCTCTCTCATAATTTTGGGTCTATTATCACCATGTACATATTTTTGGGAATCTCTTCCCCGTGTTTCAATCTAATCATTATTTTGACTAACAAATGTTAAAAAAAGATGATGATTAATGAGAGCTAATTTTGATCCTTCCAGTTTGTATCTGTGAAACATTTTGCAAATTTTGTATTTCTTGAAAGCTTTTGAAGTTTTGGTGTAAAGTATTTGGATCACCCATCAAACTGTTATAATGATCATCATTCATGTCTCTTTTAGAATTTTTCTGTACCTGAGGATCTTTCTGAATATGATGGTTTGGAGTTGCGACTTAAAGGCGATGGCCGACGGTATAAACTCATTGTCCGTATTAGCCCTGATTGGGATACTGTTGGTTATACAGCAAGCTTTGACACTGTAAAAGGGCAATGGCAATCAGTAAGCGTATATTGCTGTGTGATAAATCTACTCAAGTATATTAGTGCCCACTGTTTTGTTTAACTTTTGTAAGTTATTTCCCCAGATACGGCTACCATTCTCTTCTTTAAGGCCTATATTTCGAGCACGTACTGTGCTAGATGCTCCACCCTTTGATCCAAGCAAAATTGTGTCACTGCAGGCATGTTTCCATGTTCATGAGTTTCTCTGTCCTCACTGTTGTATTTCTGATTTATGAGTTGCCCTTATGCTTTTGTTTATGGTGCTTGAAACTTGTTTTGCAGCTTATGTTTAGCAAATTTGAATATGATGGAAAACTGAATCCAACATTTGTAGAAGGCCCATTTGAGCTTCCAGTATCAAGCATACGAGCATACATACAAGACCGTATCACTCCCAGGTTTCACATCTCTTTTCCACTGATTAATCTCCCTCAATTGTAAATGTCTGAAAGAAGATAATCAACATAATCTGGTGGCATGGTTGCTGTCTTTTCAGTCTTTTAACATGACTGCATTTGTTGTAGGTTTGTACATGTCAGTTCTGCAGGGGTTACACGGCCTGACAGACCTGGGCTTGATTTAAGCAAACAACCTCCTGCTGTCCGCTTGAATAAGGAGTTGGGCTTTATTCTTACATTCAAATTGAAGGTTTTTATAATCTCTGTGCATGCTGTTTTTTTTCTTATTTGTCATAGTTAATTACTGACTTCATTGAGAAAGAATAAAAGGAATGCTACCTGTGTACTTATAGGTGCTAAGCATTCCAAATGTTCAGCACACCAGCCTCTAGAAATCAAGGCAAGGGGCATGGCTGTAAATGAATATTGAATTACAGCCTCAAAAGAAAAGAGTAGCCCGATCATAAGAAAACTAGAGACAAACTTGGAAAATCTGGGACCTTAATGGATGTCCTCTCTCATGGCACCTTTTCAGAGAGTCAACTATCAGGATTGGCAACTTGGTTGCCCAAGACTCCAAGTACTTTCTGTAACTTCTGGCAAAAGTTGCATAGAGTAGACCCTGGTTAGGATACAAGTGACAAACAAAGGTAACACACGATGATAACTAGTCTATGCTTTTGTTTAGCTGTATGAAAAGCTATACTTCAAACTGAGTATAGAAAATAATTAGGTTTAATTCAATTTAAAGTCATAGAACTGAAACATCCTTAAAATCTCTTAAACTCCACCAGGATGCTGAAATATATAGTAAACTAAGAACTTCCATTCTGATAGTATCCACTGAGACTTTTATGTTCTTAAAATATGCAATGGTTATACTCCTTTCGTTGTGATTAGCAAATCACAAATAGGCGGCTCCACAGGATATGGTCTCTTCTGTTTAAACCACTCACAGGCCAAGTAGCAAGTATCAATCTGGTCTGGTAGATTGGATTGGGTAACAACTTATTCCAATACCACCTACAAATAATTCTTTCAGGCTAGAACTGGGCATAAAACCATTTTGGTCACTGAGTCATAGGTCTAATAGTCCAACCGTCCAGTTTGGTTGTTTGGGTCCAATAAAAATGTACAAAAAAAAATGGTTTCAGTTATCTTTTGAATCTACTATACATCAAAATAAGCTTAAAAGTCTCTAAGAACTGGGCATCTCAAAAACTGTTCTGGATGTTGGTTCCCAATTAGAAAGGTCTACTATCCAATCCAATCGAAATCTGACAATGTTGCTACACACTGGGGTCATATCTTGAGAGCTAAGGAGCGATGGACTAGAAGATGGAGAAGAACTTCAATTGGAAGTTAGTATATATCTGATAGGAACTGCAGAATGGAACACCTGGCCTGTTCACCGGTTCCCTTACATGTTGAATGGTTTGTATTGGGCTTATAATCCCTTCACATTGCAGAAATAGGTTGGATCATCTAGATAGATTCCCTCCTTGACCCAATTACTGGACCTTTTTGTACAGCATTAGAGCTAGATGGCTAGAAACTCAATGTTTCTATTTCTGTTTTTCATCCTTTCTTCCATAGGGGGAAGATTTGATACGAGAAAGTGGAATTCCGTATACAATAATAAGGCCTTGTGCCTTAACTGAAGAGCCTGCTGGAGCTGATCTCATCTTTGATCAGGGCGACAACATTACGGTAATTGCATTTAAGATGATATTTCTTTTTTACTTTTTATAGATCCAGTAGTTGTCTGGTTCCTCTTTCTTACATATAGAATACTCTTGTCTTGTCATATTTAATTTAGATAATAGCTTATAGTTGTAAGACATTCTTTTTGTGTGCTATACTGATATTGGGTGCAGCAATCCTTAATGGCCCTCTTAAATTGTTTGATAATACAGGGGAAGATATCAAGGGAAGAAGTTGCTCGCATATGTATTGCTGCTTTGGAAAGTCCATATGCATGTGACAAGACATTTGAGGTTATCCTTCCACATGCTCTTAATAATTCATATTTACATGAAGTATATTTTTTCCTATGCTATTTCTTTTTTCCCTATCTGACAAAGTAATTGTCGGGATTTAACCAGTTCCAACAAGTATGGTAGGTAGACTCAGATAAACCCAGGACTTTGGGTTGGTTATTGGATTGGACATCATGACGTGTAATAGAACTTCATTAACATAGACAACCTATCCTGGTTAGTAAGTTCTACTAATTCTCATGATCTTGGAGATTTTGGATAACCCGCCTAACTTTTGTTTCTTCATTGAAAGGGACTTAAAATGAACATCAAATAGAATAGAAACCAATAGATATTTTCTGAAAACTTACTCTCTATTACATTTTTTCTTTATTTTTCTTGGGATTTTTTGAATTCTTCAAATGCTATTCTTTATTCACAAACATATGCTGGTAAATCTTGGAAACAGCCTCTCTGTGTATCTGCAGGGGTAAGGCTGCATAAATCTGTCCCTCCCCAGACTCTGCATTGGTGGGGGCCTTGTGCACTCGACTTCCCTTTATATGCTGGTAAATACATAAATATGAAGATGTAGAAGTACATATACGGATAGGTTCATTTATGAACACATAAGCTTGATTTTCTTCTAGCTGGATATAAATTCCAGTCACTGATGAGGATGGAAGTCCACAACTAAATCATAGATGTTAAAAACATGCTTTTGTTTGTTTTCCTGACCAGAATTGTCATCTAATCCCACTCCATGGACCATTTCATGTGGTTCACAACTAAGTCATGGATGTTAACACAAGCTTTTCTCTTTTCAGGTCAAAAGTGTAGTTCCATTCAGTGAGCCATTCACCGTGGACCCTGAAAACCCTCCCCAAGAGAAGGATTATAATATATACTTCAAAAATTTGAAGGATGGAATTACTGGGAAAGAAGCCTTGGAACAGAGTCCTTTGTTGGTTTAATGCCCATGAACAACAGTCTTTTCTCAAGATGATAGCTTGTAAGTACAAAATGATTCTTCGTTGTCCTGATTTTTGACAATAATTATAAAGGGAATAAATATACAATTCTAGGTAATTCTCCCATTGGAATCTTACTAAACCTTAGTCCCAACTATTTGGAGTCGAGTAGTCAACTGCACAAATACCGTAAGAACTTTTCCTGAACTTTCTCTTTCTCTTTTATTTTCTGATAAACCAGACAGAGCTATTAAGTCTCCCAGTGCCCAAATAAAATTGAGTATTGCATGTCAGAGCATTTCTGTTTTGTGATGGGATTAAAAGTTTCTAACTGCTAATAACATGTTTTTAAGGGGTGAAGTGGCCTATATTGCATTTTTCTTGTTGCATCAGACTATCAGAATTAGGCAGACAGAAACATTCTAGTTCATTCAGGAGGATCAGAGTCCAGTCCTTTTCTTATCCTACCATTCCCCAATTCCTTGCCTTTTTTTTCTTGCAGAGGGCTACCCTACAGGAGAACTAGAGGGCTACTAAAGAAACTAGAAGACAAGGAAGAAAGACATATCTGGTGCTGGCTCCATTATGGAACTACTGGCTGCATTTAGATGGCTGAAAAAATAGTACTACTCGCAAATAATTATTTCAATCATGCAGAAGAGTGGATTCTTTCCTTTTCTATTTTGTAATCCATCATGTATATTTACATATTGTATTGTATATAAACATAGATATAATACAAACTGTACTATCTTTATTTTCTTATTTCTCTAAGATTTTGTTGTTAAGAATCCCTTCAGGTAGATGGGTTTTCTCCATTACTAGATCTTATATGCACAGGTGGTGCATATCTGCCATTCAGCCTTAACTGGGGTGAATAGAAAGAAGTGCTTATTCCAACATTACGTTTCCTTACATAAAAGAATAAAGGCGTTTGGTTGGAGACCATATGGTCGGAAACTTAGGGTCCGTTGGTTTGCATCTCGAATTGGAATTGGAATAGTCTATTCTCATAGTCTGTTTGGTTCAGACAGGAATGAGAATGGGAATTGAAATAAGCAGGAATGGGATTTTATTCCCAAGGGAGGGGCAGGGAATGGCCATTCTCTCAAATGGGGGAATGCCATTCCTGCATGGGAATGAGATTCCGATTCCACTCAACCAAACAGTTGGAATTGGAATAGTCCATTCTGATTCTGATTCCAGACCCTATTCCTATGAACCAAATGGGGCCTTAATAATTTGGATTTAAATATCCATCTTTTATTATTATTTTTAGAATATTTGTTACATTGAATTACAAAGTAAAAATGACTTCTTGGTTCTGTTGCCGTTTATCTAAAAAACGGTGCCAGTTCAGTTCCACATAAGCATTTTTCCAATAGAATTTGAAACGTTGATCGGTTTAATTGTTTATCAAATAAATGCTTGTCTTGGTTTGTATGAGAGCAATCTGATGGGGGAAGTTTCTTTTTAATGTTTTTTCCAACACTAGGCTACATTTGAATGTGGTGCAAAAGTAAAATTACATCGCTTGGTTTAAAGTTATGGACAGTTGTAAATTGAAAAGTTTGATTATCGATGTAAATATTTACGTCATTTTTATTGAAGTTATATTTACAATTTTACATCGGTTTTTGATGTTTAAATACACTTCATCCAAACACTGGTAAATACAGACCGATGGAGTTTTACGTCGATTTTTTATGCTTAAATACACTTCATCCAAACGCTGATAAATAACGACTGAGAGTATAATTACACCAATGCGTATTTACACCGCAAACAAACACATTCAGTTTATGTGGTGCTGCTTAATGGTGCCTACCTGTCAAAAATATTTTTAACATTTTTTCACTTTTCAAGATAACTAGAGTCCAAAGCACTATGTTTTCTATATTTTCGGGCCCAGACCTAACTCTTAGATTGCCCAAGCCCGATCCAAGCTTAGGCCGACCCTAACCCAGCCTGAACTTGGCCTGATTAGGCATATATCTTTTTTGACACATGCCTGATTACAAATGCATACATAGAGAATGCGTGCACAAGGGTGTTCATAAAAAAACCGAACCAAACCAAGTAAATCAAATCGAAAAATGCGGTTAACCAATCCTATCAGTTCGGTTTTGGTTCAACATTTCTAAAAAACCAAATGACCAGTTTGATTTTCGGTTAACCTAGAAATAAACCGATGGTTAACCAAACTGATGGAGGATGATTTGACCCGACCCTTTGAGACGACGACACGTGGAAATGACTCAGCACAAGCAACAGCTCAGCACCACAGCCTAACCGCGACTAAGTGACCAGCCCACAGGGCAGCTCGCTACCCCATAGCTCGCTATAGGGGGAGCTCGCTACAACACGACCTCGAGGTCCCTCGAGCTACTGAAAGGGAATACTCCGAACCAAGTCTATCCCAGCTCGCGAGCTAGGATAACCAACTCGCTCCAACACTTAGGCAGAAAAACTGCCCCAAAGGCCACCCTGAGAGGGGTCACCTCGAAGTACCCCAAGGAGCTCGCTACAAAGTAGCTCGCGATAGGATAGCTCGCTACGTGATGGAATAGCTCGCTACAAGGTAGCTCGCGACTAAGCGACGCGATGCTTTCAGGAAGCTTCTATCTGACAAGACCATACCCATCAGACTGCGCCACGTCTCTTGACCGACGGCGCAGTCCCTGCCAATTCAACAGACTGCATCCATGTCTCTCGACAGATGGTGGCATACCTGTCCTCCCGAGACGTGTCACTCATCCGATTGGGTAGTACCCTACAACGATTACCTGCGCAGCCCTGGCAGATAACGGCTGTGACAGAAGCCCAGTGGCGGTTACGCCCGATTTGACAAGAATGCCTATATAAGAGCCCCCTAGTTGAAGAGAAGCTCTCTCTCGAATATCTGAGATCTTATCTTGAACTTACTTGCTCTCAAGCTAACTCAGTGATCTAGCGCGACCTACACTCTTAGCCTTTTTTACACTCTTCACTATTTTCTCTAGTGTTCTAACTTAAGCATCGGAGTATTCCCACCGGGCAAGTCCCCCAGGAATTCTTCACCGTCTTCTTCTCAGGTGTTGTCCGTTGCCAGCTAGGAGCCAGTCAGCAGCCAGCTAGGAGTGCCCGGATTGCGCAGCATCATTTGGCGTCGTCTGTGGGAAACGCTTCAAAAAAGCCTTCCTTTAAGATTCTACAGTTTCCTTTTGAAAACTCAACATTCATGGCCTCCTCCAGCAATGTCGGATGTGGTGCCAGCCAGAACGCTTCTGGGGAGCAACCCCAACTTCCCACAGTCTGTATTGGACAGTTTGCCGTCCCCCTCTCCGTGGACGGAGTTCCCAGTCTGAATGTGACTCTCACAGTGGCACTTGCGGTCGCTCCACTCCCTTCCATAGTTGGAGCAACCTTTGTTGAACATTCAGTTGTGCCCCCAGTGGCCAACCTGAACCAGCTGGAAGACTTAATGCAATGCATGCGGGCCATACAAGCTCAAATGCAACAGTTCCAGCAGTTCCAACTTTATCAACAATAAGTGTTGCATCAAGTCTCCTAATACCAGTACCAGCAGCAGTTTCCCTCCTGGCCATGAAGTAGACCAAGCCCTCCCGCCGGAGCGAACAACCTCGCCGGGGAGAGGCCTCCCAGGCCCAGGATCCCGCCAAGAGCCAAGCCTCTTCCCTTGGAAGGAAGGAGAGGCCAGCCACCCTCGCCTCGCAGCCTATGGGTAGGTCGGGAGTCTCCCAGCCAACCAAGCCCGCATCACCCCAGCATTCGCAGTTCGAGCTCCCGCGCGCAGAGAACCCGTTCGAGGTCTTGGCCGCAGACTACAGGTAGGGCCCTTCGGTTCAGAGCTACCACCAGCAGTCCGAGCCCATCGAGCTCGATAACAATGAAGCATCAAGCACAAATGCCAAACCAGCAAAGCATCAGCGAAGGTGCCGGCGAGCTCAAAGGAAAAGAGGAGGTATGCTCAGGCAAAGTGAAAGCTGCCCCTCTCCTCCCAGTTTCTTCCTCACTGTCTCCAGAACTCCTTGTTGTCCCCATGCCAAGGGACTTCAAGCTCCCTCCACTGGACAAGTATGATGGATATTTCGATTCGAATGATCATGTGGACGCCTTCCAGTCCCAGATGCACCTGGCAAGAGCCAACGAATCCTGCATGTGCGTGGCATTTTCCACCACCTTCAAAGGGGTAGCCCACACATGGTACCGTAACCTCACGCCTGGTTCGATAAGAAGCTGGGCGCAGTTCGTGCAAGTTTTCACCTCCCACTTCGTCACCAGCAAGAGGTGCCCGTGAACTCAGGAAAGCCTCCTCGGCATAGTTCAAATGGAAGGGGAGTCCATTCGGAGTTACATCAAGCGGTTCAACGACGCTTGTTTGCAGATACCCGACCTGGATGTCGCAGTTCGCCTCACCGCAGCCAAGCGAGATATCACTCACAAAGAGTTCAAGTGGCACGTAGTTGTCAACCAACCCAAGACCGTGACCGAGTTCCTCAGGCTCGTGGATCGGTTCATAGGGACGAAGGAAGAAATCAACCAGAAGGGCGAGCAGGCCCTTGAGAAAAGGAAAAGGGAACCAGAGCCCCCATCTCAAGGCGACAGCAGGAAGAAGAAGAACCCAGCTCAGGGGGCAAGGCCGGTTCAGCCCTTCCGAGCTCCGACAGCAAAAAGAGACTACACACCCCTCAACGCGAAGCGGACCGAGATCTTCATGGCGATCAAGGACGCCCCCTACGTGAAGTGGCCACCTCGTAGCACCGAAAGTTGTAAAAAACTCCACACGTGAAGAGACTACACACCCCTCATAGCACCGAAAGTTGTAAAAAACTCCACGATGAGATAGAAGAACTCATCCGTCGTGGATATCTGAGAAATTTTGTACAAAGTAATAATAATAATAAAGCAGGTCGGCAAGGAGAGCAGAGTAGAGACGCTCCCGAGTCCAGCAGGCAAGCGGAACAACCGCAAAAGCAGCCCCCCAAAGAGAGACCAGTTCAGGGGACCATCCATGCCATAGTTGGAGGCTCGATTGTGGTAGGCTGCACCTCAACCGCAGCTCGCGCATCAGCTCGTGAAGCCGCCAAGGAAGAGCAGAACCCCCCAAAGCGGCCAAGGATGGAAGATCCCATCTTCTTCACAGAAGATGACGCACGCGGGGTCCGCTACCCCCATGATGACGCGCTCGTCATAAATGTGAAGATCAACGACTTCGAAGTCCGACGCATCCTCGTCGACTCAGGCGACTCAGCGGACATCCTCTTCAAAGCAGCCTTCGACCAACTGCAGCTCCAGGAGAGCGACCTAAAGCCTACAAACACTCCCCTGGTAGGCTTCAGCGGAGAGGAAGTTAGGCCCCTGGGAAGGATTACAGTACCCGTGGAGGTCGGCACTTGGCCTAGCATGGTGAGGCTCAACCACGATTTCTTAGTGGTCGCAACCCCCTCCCCGTATAACGCCATAGTAGGTCGGCCGATTACCACAGACTTCGGAATCGGGATAGCGCGAGGTGACCAGCTTGAGTCTCGCAAGTGCTACGTCGCCGCCCTTAAAGAGAAAGCCAAGGTGGCCGATGACCTCGAGCTGGAGTGACCTACGGAGCAGAACGAAGAGTGAGCTGCGCCCACCAAAGAGACCGTCTCCATCCTAGCCTCGACGGAGGACCCAGCCCAAAAACTTCAGATCGATGCTTCCCTTGAGGAGCCTCTGCGATCTAAACTAGTATGCTTTTTACTTGAAAATTTAGATGTTTTTGCATGGTCTACAGTCGA